AAGTTAGTCTTAAAAAGGTATGACTTAATACCTTAAATAGGAACTTTAACGTGTAAATCTGCAGTTGATATGTGTGACTTTTCATGCATAGAGACAGTTTCTTCAATCACGTTGCTTGCTGTTGATTTTCTTTTTAATAATGATTAAGGGTTTCAAATTCTATAACAATATAAGTATTATGAAACTTAATTGTTTTGATTCTAGTTTAGAGAGCATATGTGGTATGAAAATGACTAAACGTCATTATTTTTTATCATTATGCATTATTTCTTCATTAACAATGAATGGTAGGTTGTAGAGTAAGAAATTATTAGTTTTAATAAAAAGAGTGGAGGAGATAAAATATTTACAAAGAATGTGTCAATAATTTTTATCACATTCCAATAGTAACCCTTTCTACAAATCTTACAAAGAAAAAGTTGGATTAAACGCTTCATCGTTACTCAAAAACAGAACTCACTGAAGCCAGTGCTGCTTGCTCCAAAGTAAGTAAACCGCTGCCAAAATAACTGCAAATTTCAAAGAATCAACTCATTCTAATTTTAATATTACCCTTTGCTTAATAAAACCAAACAAGAAGATTCCTCGAATTGGCATTTCAGCCATTTTTTTCTGTTTTGGAAGTGTGTTTTAATTACAACGGAGAGAGCAATAACAACTCTTTTTATAGCTCTGAAGCAAAACTGAAATGATTTTACTCAATTTAATTTAAATATAGGCAAATACAATGACACCTCATCACGGCATCGGTGTTTTTCCAAGAAAGCCAAATCAACAACTCTCCACATGGTAACTGTGAAATGTACAATGCCTGTTATTGGGAACAATTTTCTAAAGTTGGCACATAAATCTGAACCTTATTTTCAAGGTTCCAATATAGTGTTCTGTGTAGATCTCATTCCTGTTTTATTTTGTTATCAGAAAGCATCTGCAGTGCTGCCTGACTGTTAAAACCAGAATAGAACAAATACATCTAAAATCAGTAATGCTGTTCTTTCCTGCCAGACAATTTGTTTTCATGGTCTTCTGTTTCTTTCACAAATTTTCTGATAATTCTGGTATTCAGGCACATTACTCAGAACAACACAATACAGTGGCAGAAATAGTCTATATTTTTCTCCTATAGGTTTCCCATTCTCTCCAATAAGATAAAAACAATACAGGACTTAATTGGAATGTAAGAAGAATTTACACTAAATTAGATTATGTATATATCAATGAACCACTGGTCTCCATTAATTAGCTAGCAACAAGGTTATTTTTTCCCTTAGCTTCGCTATAAAATATATTGACAAATGATGAAGAAAATGATGGTCACCATTTCTTCCTTCTTTGCAATTATTTCTTTTTAAGGATCACACTGAAATTTCTCCAAGCTTTAAACTGCTCATTCTGGCAAATGTAGCCAAATCCCAGTTCCTGTGAAGAACTCGGAGTCCCACTATGTGCAAATTTCCCTTTCTGATCCAGCCAGAAATAATCTCAAAAGCACTCTACTGAAATATGCACAAGAAGGTTATGGAAAGAACCCTCAGCTCCAAAAAGAGCAGAGTGGGTGAGTGGGTGATCTGTCATAACATGTTTGGAACAAATCAATTAAAGGGAAGCAATTTCCCATTTTTTTTTCCAAAGGAAAAAGTAACACATCTCCAGTCTTCAAAGCCATACTGCCCCAGGGATGTCTCTAGAACAATTAAGTAATGATAACTGCCACCATACAAGCAACACCGTGGAACCTCCCATGGAAAGACAACATGAAAATTAAGGCATAATTGAAAAAAAAATAACATTGAGAGAGATAAAGCGCATACGACCATGTTTTAAAACCAGATGGGGGAGAATTTTCTTGAAAAATCAAAGACGTTGCTCTAAAAAAGTTAGAGCAAGAAGCAGAGTGATTCATGAGTGCATGACAGACTATAAGGCAGTTGACAAGTAAGCATCTTGCTTGAGGAATGAAAAGATTAACCTGCCATAAAATAAGAAAAACCCTTCCTATCCAAAAGGATCAGTGTGTTTATGCTCAACTAAGTCAGTAATCACCCATTTGGAAATGGTTTCCTTAGAGACAGTAGAACTTGCTGACTTTGAGCCAGAAGAAAAAGAAGGGATGATAAGATTTCTTATGACTTGGCTTGCTCCTAGAAAAATATCTGGCCATAAAATTTACGGAGATAGCCTTTACTGGCATGGGTGAACAAGTGTGAAAGCAATATAATGAGCCCATCATACTTTCTCCGAAAGGCCTGTAGACGCACTTAACTATTGCTTTATATTTGAAGAGTGGGTGTAGAAATGTAGGATGATTTGTCTCAGTACTGTAGAGTAAAATATAATGGCAGTAAGTTTGCTAAGAGCTGCAGATTATAATAATTACCAATGGCCAAAAAAGAATTTTTAAAAGAAGTTAAGAATGGCATCATACTTCCCCTTAACAGTTTTATTCTAGATTCCTAGAAATAAAAACATAGTATTTCAGAGCTTGAACATTGCAGTTCTGTTTCTAATGAATTCTGCTTCTTTTTCAGACATAGGATTAGCCCTAATGGTGCAGTGGTTAGGATGCAGTACTGCAGGCAAACTCTCTCCACTGCCTGGAGTTCAATCCTGACCGGCTAAAGGTTGACTCAGCCTTCCATCCTTGGTACAAATAAGGACCCAGATTGTTAAGGGCAATATGCTGATAGTGTAAGCTACCCATAGAGTCATGTAAAGCACTATGGGGCAATATATAAATTTAATTGCTTTTTTTTATTGCTATTATTTAGTCATTCTGAGGATAGTTTGGTAGTTTTTCAGAAGTTAATTTTTGAAAGGGAAACTTATTATACTGTGCTAAATATAGATAGATAGATAGATAGATAGATAGATAGATAGATAGATAGAGAGAGAGAGAGAGAGAGAGAGATTTCAAGGCAGGAACAGTAAGTTTTGCACATACCTGCCTTAGGCTTTTTGAATGCTTTAATAATTTAATAATATTAAAAATAACTTTAAATACTTGGATAAAGCAAAAAAGCTTTAAAGTTCTCAACATATTGTGGTAGGTAATTTTTAATGGCTAGGAGTCAAACTTAATAGTTTTGTGGGAATGCAAATCATAAAATTGATAGGGCTCCATCATATTTATAGGTTTGGTTATGGAGGGAATTTGGAACTTAAATATATATATATATATATATACATTCATGATCATAGCCATGCTATTATTCTTTTAATATGTCAAATTAGCAAACATCAACTAGAATGAACTTACGTCTCCCAAGTAGTTGGTTTCATTCTCCATAGTGGGAAACAGATACCGTGTTTCCCAAAAATAAGACCTCCCTGAAAATAAGGCCAAGCGCTTATTTCGGGGGTCAAAAGAAAATAAGACCCTATCTTATTTTTGGGGGAACACAGTAGTCCTATTTGCAATGGATGTATCAAATTGGCTTAGTTCCTATCCCATTAATACCACAAGTACACCTCTTTCCTTTCTTGTGTATAAATGAATGAACTTCTGCTACTTGCAAAGAAGAAAGTTCTTTCCTTTTCTATAAAGAAAATTTGAAACACTTAATTTTGATATAAAATTATGACTATTGTAAAATCAACCACTACACTTGACTTAAGAGAAATAATGACTCTGGGTGGGTCACAACAATCAAAGAAATTACAATCAACGAAATAATACATAAAAAATTAGACAACACATATTAATTTTTTGTGGATTTTCTTGGCATGGGAATTGGTTAATAGAATTATTATGCAATACTGGAAGGATAAATCTGCATCTGATATGTAGCAAATAATATGTACTATTTATCATTTGAATTATCATTTGTCTTTTTTTGACAAATAAATAGGATCCCCCCCCCAACCTTGTTAATTGGTATGTTTAAATTATATGATTCTTTTAATATTACTGCATGCATTTGTATTTTTCTTATGTTGATTGGCTTGGCACAATAAAATAAATTAAAAATAAGAAATCCAGATGGAATTAGGTGCAAGGAGCAACAAGGACAAAAAGGCTTCATCTCAGAAAAGCAAGAGGTTGTTGCATAGTTGAAGAGTGGAACTACTTTAAAAAATCACAAGGAAACTTGTAAGAGTAGAGAGAGGAGGCAGGGTCAAAACCAGAGGCAGCATTGCAGATAAACATGGATGTATGTGGGATTTAAAAGCAAACTGAAAAAAAATGTGTAAACAATGGGGGTGGGTATGTTGTTGGAATAAAAAGGACACTTGTTTTAAGCTGAATGTTAAATACATGAATTTGGGAGCTAATGAAAGAACAGAGAGAAAGTTGTTGCTTTAATTAAGGTGCCAACAATGCAGATATTAAATTTAACTGATAGCAATAATAATGCAACAAAGACTTAGTTGACATCTTGATTAAAAAAATGATGGCAATTCAGTCATTCTAAAAACAGCCAGCACACTGTTTTAGGAACAATTCTCTTAACAGTATGTCAAGTTCTGGTCAATTCAAACATATAGCTGAAAGCAGAGGGAAATACTTTATTGCCTCGTTCAATCACTTTACTGGGCAATTTAAGAGACCATTTGTGAAATAGGGTTCTTAATGAGCATTTTTGTGGGATTTGTCTATGATTCAATGAAAACACTAAGAAAAGGGCTACCGTTATGATTACCCAGAGCAGCTAAGATTCTGGGTTCAGACCAGCATATTCCTAGGTACTAGATAACAAGAAAATTACGGATAACTATCAAAATAATGGGAGAAAGCTTTTCAAGAACAGTCCCCGTTGCATGTGATCAACCAGGATTCTGATTCAGAGAAAGCCGATTCGCATGGCCCTAGAACCTCTAGTCTTTTTATTTTGGTCAGAAATGTATATGCTTGACATGTTGCAGGATTACGCGTCTCCATTTTTGGCTGGATGCAATTAAAAGCGTTAGTCACTATTTCAGAATTCATCAGGAAGCGATATAGTTAATGTTGCGTGGCTCTTTTGCAGTAAAGATACCGCTTCCAAGCCACAAAAACTTACATTTAAAAGTGATACATTTCTTTTATGAGCTGCATCAGCTTCTTGCGTGTGCCATGCCTGCTCAGCGTCTTTGTCTCTTAGATGACTCTCCATCTGCTGAAGCAACACCAATCTCCGAGAGAGTCTACAAAAGGGAAACATTGTGATAAGTGGGCAGGCATTTCCCCCCCCCCACCCTCCAGCACAACAACCAGAAAAACAACAACCTTTTACCCTCACTCAATATTTCTCTAATTATGTTGAATACAGCGTGGGAGAACAAAAAAGAAGGGGAAAGCACATAAAGTCCCTTTCGTGCTGTGCTCCCAGGGAGAAAGTAACCATCATGTTGTACAACAAGCAGTCTCTGTGCATAAATGACACAATCGGCACAGAACACTTTAAACAATATTGGCCCGCAAGGCACAGTTAGCCATCTAGAGCACTAGTGATGAGTTCACTGCATTCTGCTACTAGGGTTAATTCTGCAAATTTAAGAGATCCTGTGTTCAGAAGGAAAACGGTCACGTTTGTCATCCTGGTTGTACATCCTTCTGCACAATTTTAAAAGAGTCCTGTTTTCCTCCCAATCCAGGTTCACTGAAAATAGTTTCTTCCTCTCGAAAACAATCTTTCCAAACCTTTCCTATAGAAATGAGGCTCCATTCTATTCGCTGCATTGATTTAAAAAAAGGCTTTGGGGGAAAAAGTATTTAGTAATTTCAAGAAAACTCTCCTGGGAGGAAGCAATACAGTACAGTTTGCAGAGAAAGGGGGTTCTGCATATACACTATATGCACAAATGAAAAGTGTTAAACAGAGGGTGTAAAATGTGGATCGGGCAGCCTTTTAATCTTACATGAGAGGATATTTTCTTCACAAGGGAGTTGGAAAAATAGTCTCAGAGCGATAAAGAAAACTATATTACAATGAAATATACAAGAGAAACAAGGCCCTTATTACTCTTAATAGACTAATGCCAAAGTCAAGGAAAACAAGACTTTCATCAATTTTTTTGGTTTGTTGGGTCAGTTCTCTATGCAATGGATATTGGGATATGTTAAATAATAATAAAGGGGAGAAACTGTTTTTTGCTTATTTTGGCAGAAGTATTATGAACGTGGACTCAGTATGTGCATAGATTTGTACACAAGCTGTTTTTCCGTTTTTTTTATTAATTGCTGTGTGGCAAACGACTACAATCTTAGGGAGAAATCTTTGCTACTACCCATTGTATCATCTCCATAAAAATTGTGAAGTCTCACATTGCACCTAGAAAGTAATGCATGCAGTAGATGCTCTACATCTACATCTATTGGGCTTATATTCCCTCCATAAAACATATCCATTCAACTGAAGTTAAAGAAATACCAGCTACGTTCAGATTTATGTAAACTATTCAGAGATTATGTCAAATAACATTGTCAACATTGTTATTTTCTGTATTATTTCAGTAGACTTATATTACGTCATTATTTCATTTTTAAACCTTCACCTTTTGTCATTATGCTTACTACAGTTTTGGCACTTTTCAAAAGCTTTTCCTCAAGAATGAATAACTTGTATTTTCAACCACAGAAATAATTTGAGATGGAATAGTTGCCTTTAGAAATCTATTCTAATTACTTCCATATATTCAATAATTTTTCTTCTACCAGAATGAAAGATTAGGAGTGCCCAGCAGGAGCTCTAGGTAGACCTAGTACCACAGATTTTACATTAGGATATAAATGGGAACAGTTTATTTAATCTCCTCACAAATGATATGGAATCAGCTCTGAGTAGTGAGGAATCACGTCAGTGGATGAGATCAAATTATTAAATACAGTCAGAGATGACAAAAAAGATCTCCTCAATCTGAGGGAATGAAACAAAATGGCAAATTGAGGTTCATCCTAGGATAGTATGAAAATGTGTGTACTGATGCTAGAAATTTAACCCACATGCAGTATATAGTGGTTAGGGTAGGGTATGCATTCACAACAACTGATCAGAAAGAGGTTTTGATTTTATAGTGATGGTTCAGTGAAACATTTGCTGCTGTGCAATTCCTGTTAAAACATAAATGTCAAGGTAGGGTTCATAGGGTGTGAAAGTAAAGTTGCCAATAACATACTTATTTGTACACCTGTACAGATAGTACGTTATGGTATCAGCCACTGAAAAACAATTATAGGATGCAACTATTTTCTTCAAATCCAATCAACAGGTTTCCTACAGATTGTAAATTATGGAAGCAAGAAACTAGAATAGCTAAACTTTGGGCTACAGATCAAAATTCTGCAATTGCCTTTTGAACAAGAATATTGAGATCTTTAAAATAAAACTAGGATATTGCAGTAACTCTAAATGTTTACTTTTAAAAAGGTATTTTAGAAATCTGGTTAGAATCTGAAGTGCTAGCTGCAACACGGAGAGAAATGCAATGAAATGGGACATTATACTGAATTTAGAAAAGGCATATCAAATCATTAAGCCGTAACTGGAATTCAATCAGAAAATTCAAGGTTGAAAAAAAGAGGACTTCATATTGTGGTTTATTTGAAAAACAGCACTGGTGGACAGCTCCCCCTAGAGGCAAAATATGGCACTTAACAAAAGACAATATAGTTTTTTTCTGTTATTAAAATTTGTTATTTCTCTAAGAGGTGTTTTTTCTTGTATTTGGAACAATCACACAGTTGTTCTCAGTTTTATAAATCAGTTCATAGATTTGGGAATAGTCCTGCAAATTCCTAAGCATTCATAATATATTTCACTGTATTTTTCTAACATCTAAAAACAAGACATCTTCAGAAACTACTTACATTTTTTCATGCTGCTTAGCAAGCTGAATTTCTTGTGCCAAATAGGATGCCATATTTGATCATATTAATAATTTCAATTATCTATGAAAAAAAGGTAAAATATGGATCCTTCAGAAATAGACACATGCATTTTATGACATTTATTAAGAAATAATCCTAAATATAAATGTTGAATTAGTGATGGGAATATTAACAGCATATGAGTACATCTTAACAATATTTAAGACAAAATATCAATACTTCATTCACCTGTAAACATTTCTTCTCCATTCTTGCTTACTTTTATTTTTGTACTTGGTTTATTTTCTTCCTTAATTCTGCATTTTTTAAGCTTTGGACGGTCAGTTTTTAATTGTCCAATAAAATAAAAAGTCATCCGGGCACCTTTTTAATAGTAATTTTATTAAATATTGTAATTAAGAATTAATACAACTAAGAAAAGATTGAAAAATAAAGAGTATGCGCAGAAAAGGAAAAGGGGAAAAGAAAGAAAATATAGTAAAGAAAAAGAAAAGAAATATATAAAAGTGTGACTTCTCACCTTCATCATAACAAGTGCTAACATCTGCCCTTATCTTTCTGATATCAGAAAAAAGTCCAATGTCTAAAGATTCAGATTTTTTTTTTGTTGTTAAATAACTTCTTGTTGTTAAATAACTTTGCTAATGCAAAAGTCTTTTAAAGATATAATTAGTCTTGGGATTCATCTATGCTGGAGAGCAAACTCTGTACAGATTATCTGTAGAACTTGAAAAAGCAACACATGCAGAGAACCTTTTACTGAACAAACTGTATTTAATGGGTTTATGGTGCAATGGGGCCAGATCAGAGAATGTGGATGTCATCCCTGAAATAATGGGAAAGTCAGTTGTTTCTAAAATCTGCAAACAGTAATAATATCCTACACTTGGGTCAATCTACATCATTTGCACAATTCTGCAATAGGCATTTTTATGTTATTTGCATTGATTTATGTCATGTAATGGAATCGTTTCTCCCCAATAGCTTGTTAAGTTGAGGCTTTAGAATAACAGTATTTTACTACTTTTGGGTTTTATTTTTGGTGCGCTAAAGGAGACATGACAACATCGCTTGGCTGCATGCCTGGATTAAAGTTAATTTAATTTGCTATGGACATGAGTGTGCCCATCCAAATACCATGCACATGCCTCACTGCACTTAAGATAGGATGGTGTGGAAGGCATTCAACCCTGAAGCAGTGTAGGAAGCTTTAAAACATACACAGGTTCAACGAAGCTTTTTACTGATCCTATTGTCTGCATTCTAACCTAGGAATGGAACCTGCTTTAATGCTCACTCATTTTTAGCGTTTGAATAGACATTTCAGCAGTAACAATTTCTGACCAACCGATTCTGTTTCTCCTCAGGTCTCTTCTTTCTATATTCACAGATCACGCTAGCTTAGTTTAATGCAGCTTACCATGTTGTTTGAGCTTGGCTACTGTTGCTTGCAAACTGGTTTAGAGCCATTTCATGAACCCAACAAACTGTAACTGATTTATCAAAATGTTCAAACTATGGCTTAGCATGAAGTTGCCCTAATGAATAAGGACCCTCTATGGAAAGGCTTCAAGTCACTGCCTGAGATGGGTTGTGATGCTATACAAGCCATTCTTGATTTACAACCTTTTGTTCAGTGACCGTTTGAGAAGTTACACATTGAAATAAATGACTTATGACCATTTTTCACACTTACGACCACTGCAGCATCCCCACAGCCACATGATCAAAATTCAGAGGTTTGACAACTGGCCTCTATTTATGACAATTGCAGTGTCCCGGGGCCCTGTGCTCACCTTTTGCGACCTTCTGACAAGCAAGGTCGGATTCACTTAACAACCTTATGACTGACTTAACAACTGCAACGATGCACTTGAGTACTGTTGGCAAGAAAGGTTGCAAAACAGGGCAAAACCCATTTAGCAACTGTCTTGCCTTGCAACAGAATTTTGGATTCAGCTGTGATATTAAGTCCTAAAATTCAAGGGATTGATCAAGGAACACAAACAGCCAAGTCATTAGATGTATACCAAGCCATGATGTAGGCTTGGTCCAGTTTAGCCCCCAAATCCAATCTAGACAACCCCTACAGAAGTGTTTCGTTGCCCTGTAATATCCGACCCAATTTCTCCTAGATCCAGCAAGCTGGGTGAAGCCAGTCAGATGCAATTGAGAAACTATAGTTCACAGCTAATTTGGCAGTTCAAATCTCACCAGGCTCAAGGTTGACTCAGCCTCCCATTCTTCTGAGGTGGGTAAAACGAGGACCCAGATCAGGGTCAGCAACCTGCGGCTCTGGAGCCACATGTGGCTCTTTCACCCCTCTGCTGCGGCTCCCTGTCACCCAAAATATGCGTCACAACCGCCAATGTCCGACACCAGCCAGCACGCAATTTATTGAGCTTTTCAACCTCTGGTAGGCCAACCAGGGATAAATCCAAGAAAAGAAAAGTTTCAGAAGAAAACAGAACGTTTAATTCAAGGGCCTGGTGGCTCAGCAGACTGATAGCATTGTGATTAACACCAGCTGTCTGCAATTAAAGTAAGTTCGAATCTCACCAGGGTCAAGGTTGACTCAGCCTTCCATCCTTTCTAAGGTAGGTAAATTGAGGACCCAGTTTGTGGGGGCAATAAGCTGACTTTGTATAAATATACAAAAGGATGAAGGCTATTGCTTAACGCACTGTAAGCTGCCCTGAGTCTCCGGAGAAGGGCGGCATATAAATCAATTAAAAAAAAAAAAACCTACATAAACTAGTTTTGTGGCCGCTCAAGAAATAGTCAGGAACGGGAAGGGTTTTTGTGGCTCCCGGTGTTTTCTTTTCTGTGGTAAACGGGTCCAAATGGCTCTTTGAGTGTTTAAGGTTGCAGAGCCCTGACCCAGGTTGTTGAGGGCTATAGGCTGACTCTGTAAACCGCTTAGAGAGGGCCTGTAAAAGCGCCTGTGAAGCGGTATATAAGTCTAAAGCGCTATTGCGATCTGCAGCTTGTTAGATTGTTTCACAAACTGCAACTTCGGCAGGACGCCCGACTCCAAGCCCGAGTCACTCGTTTGAAAGGTCATTGGGAAGAGCTGTTTTAAGGGATGCTGCGACCTTGCATCCCCTTCACACGTTTCTTGCCCGCACTCCCCCCGCCCCCCCCCCCAAAAATCTCTTGGCTCTCCAATCTCTCCATGATGATCTGGTGCTAAGGAAGGAGAAAAGTCGCGGATGGCTGGCAAGTTGAGCCAAAGGTTTAGCGTGTCCGGTTAGCCCAGCGTTCCTTTGCTTTGCACGAAAGAAACTTGGATCAAATTTCCCATTTGCCACCGAGCTCCCGAAAAACAGCCACGCTGGGCTGGTCACCCTACTCATTTTTTTTTTGTTTTTAGTATCTCGTCTCTCTCCCCCCCTCCCTCCCTCCCCAAATGGAACATCGCGAATAGAACGGTCGGATCTCCGGACAGTTCGGGAGTTTCCAATTCAATAAATGGGAGGGGGGGAATAAAAGTATTCTTGAGAAGACGCGCGCGCGGGGAGACCCCCCCATTCAGGAAATCGGAGGTTCGTATCCACCACCGCGGGAACTAGGACCGTACTATTCCGAGGCGGATGGGGGGGGGAATAATAGGAAAACAAAAAACCAGGAGCCAGACGTACATTTCTGCGAATTGCGAATTGAGGTGCTCAAACTACCTTTATTATGACCCTGCCGCAGTCAGGAGCGGCTTTTCAATTTCAACGTCCTCCTCACTACCGCCATGAAACAAACCCAACGCTTTTCACTCCCGGCAACTTGTTATCGCGGTACCATAAAACGGGGATAGGGGTGTGTGTGTGTGTAGAGAGAGAGAGAGAGGAGACGAGCGGCAGAAACCGAAGCATGCCGCTTTCTGATTGGTCTACGGTCTTGGGGGGCGGAGTTACGATAGCGGAGGAATGAGTGTCATAACGGAACGACGTGAGGAGGCGGGGCTTCCCGCTTGATATTTTGAAAACGAGACCGTTGGGCGCTAAGTAACGGAATGGACAGGGAGCCCTTCGGGTTGCGAGCAAGTCGAAAAGGGAGGTTTCTGTGTGGGAAGAGGAACACCCGAGTTGGAGTGGAGCAGGAAAGAATCTAGTTTCCTGAATTTAAGAAATAACTTATCCCTTGGTGAAGTGATTTCCCCCCCCCGTCTCCTCCGCCGTTCCTGTACGAACCATAAGTACTTCAGGCGAAGGAAAGGGTTTTTATTAAGGGGGTCAAGCCTTTCCTCCCTATGGGATAGCAATAGCACTTAGACTTACTTACCGCTTTAGTGTGCTTTTACAGCCCTCTCTAAGCGGTTTACAGAGTCAGCATAATTGCCCCCAGCAATCTGGCTCCACATTTTACCCACCTCGGAAGGATAGAAGGCTGAGTCAACCTTGAGCCTGGTGAGACTCGAACTGCAAGCAACCCGCAGGATACAGAAACAAGCGAAACATCCATTTGATACAAGTGATGTGCCAGCAACAAGTAGAACTGATTAGACATGAGAAAAGACACATCCCCATAAAATACATAGCATCATTTCCCATTCGGATTTGTTTCCTGTAACATTTTTTTTTATTGAAAAGTTTTATAAAAGATACAAACATTTTCCCCCTCCCCCTTCCCCCCACCCACCCACCCTCCCTTTCCCCCTCCCCCTTCCCCCCACCCCCCTCCCTAGACTTCCCAGAACAAGCACAGGGTATAGCATTCACAAACATAAAACTAAAATATGCTAACGATTTGTTGGCTTCAAATTCTCCCTAGGTCTTTAACTCCTTATAACTCAAAACACTATAAACATAAACTAAAGATTAAAAATATTTCATTCATAAGCTATATGAAACTTCTTAGTCTGATACTTGTTTTGAATATAATCAATCCATCTTCTCCATTCCCATATATATCTTTCGTTTGAGTGATCTTTAAGATATGAAATTTTCACCAAATGCGCAACTTTTAGTGTCCATTCCTCAATAGTAGGTGGATCTTCTTTCTTTCAATACTGTGCCTCCAGTAACCTGGCTGCTGTTATTAAGTTTAAAACCAACTTAGTCTCTGTCACAGTACAATCCGTAACTATTCCCAACAAAAAAAACTGTGGTGTAAATTTGATCTTTTTCTTTAAAATATTTTGAATAATCCACCATATTTTTATCCAAAAAGCCTTAATTTTTTTACATGTCCACCATATATGAAAATACGTAGCGTCTTCACACTCACATCGCCAACATTTAGGTTGTAAATTTGGATACATACAGGCTAGTTTTTTTGGATCTAAATGCCATCTATAAAACATAAAAGTTCTCTTAAATTTTGGGCTTGTGTAAATCTTACATTTCTAACCCATATCTTTTCCCATGTTTCCATCATTATTGGTTCTCCTATATTTTGTGCCCATTTTATCATACAATCCTTGACTAGCTCTATTTCTGAATCTATTTCCACTAATACATTATACAACCTTTTTATATGCATTTGACTTTTGTCTCTTATTTGTTTTATCAAGTTTTCATCCCTTCAATGCTTAATATCCTTTCCTCCATTAAATTTATCCAATCAGTAACTAACATTTTCCTGTAACATTTTAAGGACTTCATAAATGTGTGGTAAACCTAATGAAACTTATCTTTAGCGTCCAGTGAGCTCCAACTAGAGAGCATGGCAAAATGTGGAGTAAATTAGACTTGGTTGAATAATACCCAACAAATAAATATATCTATCTATCTATATCTATCTACCTATCTACCTATCTATCAATCATCCATCTATCTCAAGGATTCCATATCAATCTAGAAGGAAGTAATGAATGGCATAGTGCAGAGTGACCATTCTAGCCTCTATATTTTTAAAAATGACTTGGATAAGAGGTTAGAAATCACAGTTACCAAATTTGCTACAATTCAGAGATGTGGATGATAGAAACCTTTGAGAACGTTGGAGAACATAGTGAAGATTCAAGAGAATTTTGACAGTCTGGGACAACGATCAGAAACCAGCAAGATGAATTTCAAGTGAGAAATGTGTAAGAAAAAATGAAATGCAGGCATATAGGATTATGAGATGGGAAAGAGTATCATACTGTGCAGGAGTGTATGTGAAAAAAATATCTGGGGCCTTGGTGAATCATAGACTAAATATATGCCATCGGTCTAAAAAAAGATGTAAAAAACAGATGAAATCCTAATCTACACCAATGTAAATGCAATGTCAGGATAGGGAGAAATAATTTTTGACAGTCTTCTGCATTAGTTAGTCTCCATCTGAATAATTGTGTACAGTTCTGAGTTTCACATTTTAGAAAACATGCTGAGAAAAATGATGGTAACAAAAAGTTGGCCTGGAAGAAGAAACTTATGAAGAACAGTTAGAGGCACTTAATATGTTTAATCTAAGAAACCACGAAACCAGGGAGACATGATAATTCCCTTCAAGTATCTGACTGAATGTCAGTCAATGGGGATAGATTTGCCTATCAAAAGCTAAAGTGTTCCAGAAGACAAGGACAAGGAGGAATGGATTAAGTTACAAAGGTGTGATTTCAGTTGGATTTCAGGAAAACATTTCTAACAAACAAAAAAACCCTGTTAGCACACAAGAGCTTTTCAACAGTGTAGCAGACTTCCTTAGGGGGTAATAGATTGCTTTTCATTGGAAGTATTTAGACAGAGGCAGAGTAGTGTTATTATAGTTAGGATACTCTAATAACGGATTCCTGCACTGGAAAGGAGATTGGGCTAAATGAACTCCTAAATTCTTTCCAATTCTAACGACTTGATGATTCTGATCCTTTTTTTTTTTTTTAATAAAAAAGTTTTTATTTTCTAATCAAACAAGTATACAATATAAACAATCATTCATACTATCATCAGAAAAAAAGAAAAAAAAATCAATTTGGTAAACTCAATCTTCATCCCCTCCTTACCACCCCCCACCCCCGATTCTGATTCTTGATTGAACTAAAGTTGAGCATAATTAAGTGATTCAAGGGAAATCTTGTTGCGGAATGTGCTACAATGGTTTACATGGATGGCACTTCAGGCATGCATCATTATTGCCAAATCCATCTTCCCCAATAGTAGACCTTCCATTCTAATCAGTTCTGGGGGAAAAAAGAGAATTATATTAACTTTAGCTCCTAAAAACTGCTGCAATTTTTTTCAAGCTCATGCAATGGGAGATGTCTACAAATGAGATTGAAAGCAATTTCTCTAAATCATTTTAAAACAGTACACAGCCTTATCTGTTATTTAAAGCTTTTTTGTACCATTGCTGAGTCATAGAATTGGCAGTATACAGTATTCCCATTGCTTAAAATTTTGGCTTAATGTAGTTTTATGATTGAAGTTTAAAAGACAGTGGGAGGCAAATTTTATGATTATTCTTTTTCAAGATCCGATAATGACATTATTGAAAACAGTAGATAGGAAAAGGTAAAATATGGTGAATTTTATATATGAAAAATGATTTGTAAACATTTATACATGTCTCAAAAATGATTCTGAAATAGAGTGTCATGAATACTCAGCTTTACTAAAATTATTACTATGTTGAATTTTTGTCAGTTGGGTCTGGTACTAAAAAGTTACATAACCTGATAAATTGGGGTCACTTTAGGAAGATTGAGTGAATGAATTAACAGGAATGTCTGTCCAAAGGGATATCCAGAGGATAGAAAACTAGAACATTTTCACTATATATATATATATCCTGTCCAAGATCAGTAGAGTTAGAAGTAATCTTCATGTTATGACTGCAATTACTGGGAACTCCATCACCAAGCAACACAGTTGTAAGCATGATATCACATGGCTGCAATTGCTTAATGATGGCAATTCTGTAAGTCCCACTTGCCACTGTTAAATGAGGACTGTGCAGGTTGTTAAGTGAGGAACTGCAATTTTCAACTTTCTGCTGGCTTCCCCATTTCTGTTGCTTGTAGGAAGCCATCAAGGAACATTGAAACTCACAGTCATGTGAACACAGCCGGAATGGGACAACTCACCACAGCCAACTTGCCACAGCCAACTTGCTATAGTTGCCACAACCAACTCACCACGGCCAACTCGCTGCAAAACAACTCGCCATGGCCAATTCACCCTGGAACAACTTGCTGTGGGACAATTCAACAATTCAATTATTTAAAATAATTAAAACATTATTTTAATTGTTGGCATTCACATTTCATTTTATCCCTACTTTGGTATCCTTTCTTTAATGATTCTGTTCCACTATTTCTTCGATATTAGTGTAACTCTTGTTCCGTGGTGAGTTGGCCATGGCAAGTTGTCCCATGGCGAATTGGCCATGGTGAGCTGGCCACAGTGAGTTGTTGTAAATCCGAACACAGCTTGCTATGATATTGTAATTGTGAGTTGAGCACTGAGCATCCAGATTATGATTTGGCGATGCTGTGATGGCTGGAACTCTGAGGAGCTGCCATAAGTTCTCCTCTTATTCAGCATTGTAACTTTTAATGGTAGCTGAACAAATGATTGTAACTGAAGAATGTCCTGTACTAATTCAATCTCTAAAGAAAGGAAAGATGAAGTGAATTCAAGGAAAAGAAGGAAAAGATAAAGAAATATAGAAAGATAATATAAAACATTTTTGCATTCCTAATGCCTTTGTAATTAATAAGGAAAACAGGTTCTGCTAGTGGAGATATTCCTTCTAACAACCAAAGATTATTAAGAAGGAATTATTCATATACTATTTTATTATACTTTACCTTTATAAAGAGTTCATATGCCACTAGTTGAACTCAATATTACACTCTATATCAAATGCAAAATTGAAAATGCTTCAGCAGAGTCTCACTAGTGAT